CGGGACGAGGGCGGTCACTGAAAGGAAAATATACTGAAGTGGCAAACTGAGAAGCAGCAGCTCTTCTCTCCCTTAGGCTTTGAAACTCATCAAAGATACAGCTAATATTTCTAACAAGAAAGAAAAACTTCTCACTGCCATCAAGTGGGAACCAACTCACAGCTGACCCTCCATCGGTTTCTGAGGCTGTAAACTGCACAGGAAGATTGCATATCCTTCTCCTGAGGAGGTGCCAAGAGATCTGAACTGCAAGAGAGGTGTTGCCTTTGGATTATGAACACAGCTCCCCAGGGACCACCTAACATACTAAAGCCTGGCTAATGAGGAGGAAAGGACTCCCAATTCATCTTTACTTGGAATCTCAGAACTGGTCAAGAAAAACTGGCCAGGATGCTGGCATCATCTCATGTTTACCTGAAAGGTATCCCCTAGAAAGCTCTGGTGACCTAGTGGCAAGAAGCTGTGCTGCAATTCTGAAGGTGCCTGGTTTGAGGCCACCAGATGCTCTGCGGGAGAAAGATGGGCAATCTCCTCCCATGTGATTGACTGCCTCTGAAAACCCGCCGGAGGGTAAGCTATGGGTCGGTTCCGACTCGATGATACGCAACAACGAGCAACAACAATTCAAAGCTTGTAAAAGGCATTCTCTGTATACTCAGTGTCAATTTTAGGTAATTCAGATTAAGATTGTTAGTAGCTTTAGTTCGGCTTGGCTCCACAATCAACACTCTTGGTACCAGCAGCCAGGAAATCAAAAGACAAATTGCACAGGGAGAGTCTGCTGTCAGGGACCTCTCCAGAATACTGAAGAGCAACCATGTCAGTCTGGAGACTAAGGTGCACCAGATCCAGGCCATAGTCTTCTCAATTACATGTTATGCATCAGAAAGCTGGACAATGACTAGGGATGATAAAAGGAGAATTGATGCCTTTGAGCTCAAGTGCTGAAAAAGTACTGAAAAACTATGGACAGCTAAGAGAACAAACAGGATCAACCTAGCTATAGACTAGACCATACCGGGGGCTTTATTTTCCTTATTATGGAGTGTTGGTGTTGTTGTTGTTGTTGGTGGTGGTGGTGGTGGTGGTGTTATGTGCCGTCGAGTCGTTTGTGACTCATAGCGACCCTATGTACAACAGCCCTAAACCCTGCTCTATCCCATGCCAATCTCATTGCCTCTGACACACCCATCCCGATTACCCCAGTCACCGAATCAATCCACCTCCTAGAGGGTCTTCCCCTCCTGCGCTGTCCCTCTACTCTACCCAGCATGATGTCCCTCCCCAAAGACCTAACTCTCCTTACAACATGTCCAAAGTATGTCAGACAAAGCCCCAGAATCCTTGCCTCCAAGGAGCAACCTGGTTTAATCCTCTCTACGATGAATCTGTTTGTTTTCTTGGCAGTCCATGGACACAGAGCCAAATATTCATACTTGTGTTAACTTGTGGACCATACAAATCTGTTAAGTTACTTTCAGTCAGCACTGGGCTTCCCTGAGACTCTCAAACTGCTGATGCTTCAAGAGTCTGAGAGTTTGTGCAGTGCAATCTGATAATGTTTGATTTGGAGGAAGGGGGCATTTGAGAAGAGGTTAAAAACAAAGGGCTCTTTCCTCAGTCAGCACTCATACTGGTGCAAATGCAGTAACATACACAAACACACAGAAATACAAAATACTGTGCACATATCTCCAGTGTCTGAGATCTCCTGAGGCGAGGCTATCATTTTCCTGCTGGTCCATAATCATCTGATCTCACCTCGTCCTGGGTTTTACATGATATAATAATAACAGAGCCTCAATAGGATTGCAGCAGGAGTTAAGTATCTTTTGTAAGAAGACATTTTTTAGCAAGTCAGCATCAAACCCCACATTTCTGACTCCCACTTAAGCATTATTTCCACAAATATCTTTCCTTCCTGTCACCCAATAACTTAGCAATTAAAGAAAAATGATTCTTGCCTGCTCCGTCAACTTCATAAACGGACTATTTTCTGAAGTTTCTGTCCCTCATAAATATTTATAAGTCATTCTTACCAATAAAATTGTGATGTTTGTGATTATTTGCCTAGTAATATCTTCCAAAAAGTGAGTTAGCCAAATAGTTTCTGATACAGAACAATTTTTAGACTGTGGACTCAGATGGGGCTGTGATAACACAACACAGTTACTGTCCAAACAGTTTTGTGAAACTCTGGAAAAAGACCTAAGTTATTTTAGCTTTCATCTCATCTCTTCTAGAAGTATTTAAAAATATTTTTCCTTGGGGGAAAGAGAAAAGGAGAGAAGATGTGGTTTGGGGTTTCTTGGTTTAATGTTCGCTTTTCCCAGGTGCCCCAAATTAAACAAACTCGCACTTTATGGCTATCACTCAAACACAGTTGACTCGGCTACTGCTTTCCCAGATCCTTCTAAAAACGAAAGGATTTTGTTCTGGCATTTTAATCAGTGATTAACTACTCTCTTCTTTTTCCTGCTGAGTTAGTAAGAGATCCATATGCTGGGTGTTCTAGGGAATTTGTCAGGCCGTAGATCATAGCTGTGGTGTGTGACATGATGGGTCTCAAGGGAGCCCAAGAAGCCATGAGGAATGTAAAGTGTCACTAGGTTAAAGCCACATTAAGACAGCTGTTACATTAATGAGGACTCTGCTTCGGAGAGGAGGTCAGCGTACGGAAAAATATGAAGCGCTCTTTATTGGATTGATCCCATGTCCGCTCAAAGTTAATGGGCCATTATTACCATCCTCTGACATTCACTGAGTCAGATGAGAATGCTGGGTTCTGTATAAACTAAAGGGTTTAAAAATGTCTTCTACACCACGTCTCCCCCTGTTTTTATCTGCAGACAGAGAGAGCAACACTAAGAGCTCACAGCACCTTCACCACCCTCCTTATTTGCTTCTGTTGAAGTAAATGTTTTTTGTGTTTATTATTATTATTATCATCATCTTAGATCAAAGCTTTCTCCTTGAACCTATCACAAGATCTCTTCACTTCCTCTTAACTCTACTATACTCTGCTGCCACTTTTAGAACATTCCTGTTACCTGCTTTTGTTATTTGTATGTTTACTGTCTTCCCTACACTAAACTGTAATTCCTTGAGAGAAAAGCCTTAAATCCACTTATCACTGCTTTATTCTCCTGGCACTGCAGTGATCACCAGGAAAATCAAACCGAAGCACACAATCTCTCTCACTAGCCGTGAGCAAGAAGTTGTTTCTGTAAAATTCTATAAAAATAGAAGTCATTCATGAGCTCCACAGGACAGATGATCCACTCTAAGGTAACTACCTACAGTACCTGGAGTTACACTGCTCAGCTGCTATCCAAAAAGGTTGGCCGTGCAAGCCCACCCGTTACTCTGTGGGATAAATATGTTGCTTCTTCCCTAAAAGTCTGCAGCATTGGGAACCGTGAGGGGAAGTTCTGTTCTATCCTACAAGGTTAATATGTATCGGAATCGACTCACTAGCTGTGAGTTTGGCGTTAGTTGGTAAAGTGCCCACTGACACACTGACTAGAAAATCTGTGTTCAGAAAGGATACAGTTCCATTAAGGTAATTTCTGAAGCTGTAATGAATTTCAAGATGCTCCCAGACATTTACCAGTACTGGTGGCATAGACTGGTAAGCACTAGCCCCCTAATCAAAAGGTGGATAGTTCAAACATACCTGGCAGTTGTACGAAGGGGAAAAAATTGGCAATCGGTTTAAAAAAAAAATTACAGCCAAGAAAACCCCACTGGGCGGTTTTATGGGTTGCTCTGAGGTGAAATCACCTTGATGGCATACAACGACAACCAAGACATTTATAATCTTTCACACAATGCTTTACTAGCTCGAGGGGAAGTATTGTCATTAAAAATGAAAATATTATTTTCTTGTTGTTGTTTGCCATAAAGTCAGAATGACTCACAGCTGACCCTTTAGCTATTTTAAAATCACAAGAGAGGAAATTGTTCATCTTTCTCCGACAGAGCAGCTAGTGGATTTGAACCGTGTGCCTTTGGGTTGGCATTGCAATTCTTTACTGCTAAACCACCTGACCATCCTCATTATTTTCTCTCTCTCTCTTTTTTTTTATTCTCTTACTCTAAAGTAACTTATTCTGTCAAAATAGACTTTTCTAGGGGGTTCCAGATACATTTTAAGAGTTAAAAAAGTAGTAATAACTCAAAACTATTTTAAAATAATGTAGCATTGTTGAAATGAAAAATAAATAAATTAAAATATATTTTTAAATGTAGCATCTGAAATACTTCTGGCTGATAAAATCCTTCAAGGACAGGATTTTGTCATAATTGACAACCATAGAAATGACATCTGTGAGGTCACTTACCTCTATCACTTAATACACACATAGCTTTGAACCACTCCTTAAATAGATTTAATTTCTATTCTCATCTATTGAGACAGTAGCAGTGTAACAGTTATGTGGGTTAAGTTTTGGGAGGGTTTTAAGCACTTTGACTAATGTCTGGCACAGAATAATCATTCATCATTTCTTTCCTATTACTCATATTCCTCTTTCAGAGTCCATGCAGTGACCGGTACACAATAAAGATTCCTGAAATAATGACACAGCATGAACTACATGCATGCACAAGATACTCATCTCCCAGTAAATTCTCCTAACCAAGTTCTAATGGTGTGTGTCCTCCTAAGTGTCATCCCTTTTGACATTCTTACTTTCTTTATTTAAAACATGCTTCAGATGATCAGTTTTATACCAACTGTCCTCAAGTTGATTCCAACTGATGAAAATCCCACGTGTGTGTCAGAGTCGAACTTCATCCCATAGAGTTTCAAGTGACTGATTTGTCAACAAGAGATAACAAAGTCTTTCTTCTAAAGGTGGCCCAGGATGGATTTGAGGTACCGAACTTCAGCACCCAAAAATGTCTATCCTCCGCAGGGACCCCCACACTCTATAAAAGAAGACACTTCCTTTTTGTGTCTGGAGTAGAACCAGGGTAGGGATGTTTGCTGCCTGTACCTGGACCCGGGCCTCGGTGAGCTTCGCCCGCTGGGCCAGCTCCTCCCTGGTATAGATGTCAGGGTAGTGGGTTCTCTCAAAAGCTCGCTCCAGTTCTTCAAGTTGCTCTGCCGTGAAGGTGGTTCGACTCCGGCGCTGCTTCCTCTTCAGCGGTAAGTCGGGTTCAGAATCGATGTCGGAGCCTTCATCTGACTGGGGCGCTGAGGCTAAAAGCACAAGAGAAAAAAGTGAACGACTCTGAATTTTTGAAAAAAGACAGTCTAACCAACTCATAAAGCAGCAAAACCTATCTAACATGCATCTTCAGTGTCTTCAATGTGATATCACATTACTGAATCATAGTTCAATTCTTCTGACCCCATTTCCCTGCCCCAGACTGAAATAATTGTTCTCTGCTATCCAAGTGTGTCAAGAATGAGCTCTTAGAAAACGGGGGATAGGCTTTATTTCATGCCTACAACCCCCATACTTAGCACTGAGTGAATACTCCGTTCATGCCAAAGAGTAGATGGCAGTTATTTTAGTGCCCGATACATTTTTCAGCACCTTCTGCATCAGGAAATCTGTAAACAAATATTTTAAACTCAAAATTGGCTCAATGTCTAAAAAAGAAATAATAATAAACATATGGTGCTGTCATGGTTAAATGTAGTCAAGTACAAATCATAGTGACCCTCTGAACGACAGACCTGAATCCTGTCCCACCCTGTACCATCTTCATCATCTCTGATCAACTCGAGCCCACTGCTCTGGTCACTACCAATGCACCTCATTGGGGGGTCTTCCTCTCTTTTGCTGAGTCCCCACCTTTCCAAGCATGATATCCCTTTCTAAGGAATAGTTTCACCTAGGATCCACATACATGTGTAAATGCTGAAACTCATATGGGGATGGGGTGGGGAGAAAGGTGGGCAATGACAATTCAGAGGTAGAATTCTCCTTCTGTGCAAGAAGCTTGAGTTCAATTTCTACCCACTGCACGGCCATCCCCAATTTATCAGGGAAAGGTTGTTGCTGTAATACTGATGTGGTTTCAGGGACTCTTCCAGCCAAAGACTGACTATGAAGCAAAGCCTGGCAACACACTTCTGATAATCAGTCAACAAGCACGCTAAAGATCAAACCCTACTGTGCTTGGCATGAAGGCAATATCACTGCTGTAAGAAGAATCATGTTTCTATTTAGCGTCTTATTGCCAGATGCTTGGAAATGCTTTCAAGAGAGTCTATGCACTGTTGATGTAAAGCTCAAGTGCAGCACCATGAAGACGTAGGCAGAGTCTAGTAGAGGGTCCCTAAACTCGGATTCAGAGTTCATTCTGCTGCTCAGGACCCTGCCTAACTTAATGAGTTTCAGAGTTCAACATCAAGAAAATCCAAACTGCTGGACAAACAGGCAACATCATCATAGATGGAGAAAAGACTGAAGTAGTCCATGATTTCATTTTATTTGAATCTCCAACTAACACTAGCAGTTGCAACTGTAAAGAAATCAAAAGATACAGTGCATTGGATAAATATGCTGTCAAGGACCTCCTTAAAGTGTTTAAAGTATAAAGCAAAGATGTCAGTTTAAAAACTACAGTGTCTCTGAACAAAGCCATAGTACTTTCCATATTCTGTTTCTGTATCATATGATGATGCGCCATGGAAGCCGGACAATGAATCAGGGAGACCAAAGAAGACTTGATGTTTTTGAAATGTGATGTTGCTGAAGAGTATTGAGTGTACCATGGACTGACAAAGGAGCAAAACACATTTGTACTGGAATAATTAGAGTTTTACTTAGCGGTGAAAATCGTGACATTCTACCTCACATCCTGTTGGCATGTTTTCAGGGGGCACCAGTTCTAACCTCATGTTGAGGAAACTGACGGGTCAGAGAAAAGATTACCCTCAATGATATGTATCAGCACAATGACTGCATCACTGGCCTTGAGCATGGCAGTGACTGTGAGAGTAACAGGGCACAGGGTGAGTTTTCCATATTTTGCTCCAAGGGTTACTATGACTCATAGTCAACACAATGGCACCTAGCAACAGTGGAAAATGAAACTGTAGTGGAAAATTTAAATTACCATGAAATTCAAGATGGCAACAGCAGATCACTAAACCAAGCCCTGAGCCCTTCAGAACATAGTACTGTGGACATCTGCCCATGACACTTTGTTATCTGTTATGTACCATTAAGTTGAAATCAACACATAGCTGACCCTCCTGAGGGTTTCCAGAGGCTATGTACTCACACAGGAGGAGACTGCCCATCGTTCTCCCCTTGGAACAACTGGTGGATTCAAACCGTAAACCACCAGAGACGTTGTTGTTGTTGTTGTTGTTATGTGCTAAAGTTAACTCCACAATAAGGGATATACCTTTAACTTGCTGGTCTGTCTGATACTTCTCTAAATCTGAACATTCACATTAAGACAGACTAGGAAGAAGGATTGGCCATCCACTTCTGAAATAGCAGGCCTCTGAAAACCCTATGTACAGCGAACACTTGATCGTTCTAATGCAAAACTTATACTTGGACCAGGAGGCAGTCATCAGAACAGAGCAAGGGAACACTGCATGGTTCAAAATTGGGAAGGGTGTATGCCAGGGATGCATCCTATCTCCATACCTTTTCAACCTATATGCAGAACAGATTATCCGGGAGGCTGGGCTCTATGAGGAGAAATGTGGGGTCAAGATTGGTGGACGATTTATCAACAACCTGCGTTATGCGGATGACACAACCCTGCTTGCTGAAACTGAAGAGGACCAGAAGCGCCTGCTGCAGAGTGTCAAGGACTGCAGCCTACAATACGGATTGAGGCTCAATGTCAAGAAGACAAAGATTCTCACCACTGGACCAATTGGCAGCATCAGGATGGATGGTGAATAGATTGAGATTGTACCAGAGACATATGCCCCTGAAAGTAGCCCTGGTCTGTCCTCTCTCTGCCCATGTTTTTCTTTGTTTTCATTGACCTCACACTTGCTCAGTCACTCGCTGCTATGGAGTCAGCTCACTGGGAGATGCCGCACTGAGGGTTAGCAGCTCAGCAGGCTCCAAATAGACAGCAGAACTCCTCGTTTTGGAAGGCTTGGCAAAATGCATGGTCTTTCCAAGACTCCTAATTCTCCTTCATGCTAAGTTCTAACTTAGCTCCATCCTATTGAACCTCCATTCCAGTAGATTTCATAAACTGATGTCATAAATTTCCAGCTGTCCCGTCTTTAAAGTCACATCTAGGGGGACAAGAAAGACAATATACAAACAAGAAGGGGATTGTCATTAGGATAATATCACTGAAGAAGGGTAGAATCAGAACACTAAAGAAGTAGTCACGGAATTAAAGGAAGAAGTGGGACTGCAGTCACATTGTGGACATAGATAAGAATGTTGTGGAAATGCACACCCATGTTTATAGCAGCTTTGTTCACAATAGCAAGGAGCTGGAAACAACCCAGGTGCCCATCAACAAACGAATGGGTAGAAAAGCTGTGGTATATTCACACAATGGAATACTATGCTGCATTGAAAAACAAGGAACTCATGCAATATTATTCAAAATGGGTGAGCCTGGAGGACATTATGCTGAGTGAAATATCTCAGTAGCAAAAGGATAAATACTGCATGGTGCCACTGCTGTAAAATGGCACTGATATCAGGGTTGAGGTAAGACTGAGAAAAACTGGATAAATTGTGAATACTGCACTGAAACAGATGAGGGAGAGAATAATTTAAAAGCGATATATGATAGGGTATTATGGTTATCACAGGAGTCTACAATTAAGGTTGCATAGTGGAATGTACTTGGGGCAGTGGGAGGGGTGCGGGGGGATTGTGTACCAGGGAGGAAGTGTTTCTTTTACTTTTCAAAGAGAGGAGTGAACTGCTGGGGTGGGGGTTAGGGCTGGGTGGAGAGAGAAGAAGTGCATCAAAGAATAAATGGAAATCCAAAATCTCGGTAAATGTTCATTAAAAGTATCAAAATAAAATTTTTAAAAAAGAATGTTGTGGAGTAAAATGTATATTAATTTCTAGGGGAAAATTAATCTGCTTTGTCATTCAAACAAACTATAATAAAAATAAAAGTAATTTTTTAAATTTTTTATTTTATTTCATTATTTGTGTGTGTGTGTACCGTCAAATCAGATCTGACTGGTACAGGAGGAGATTGTTCCTCCTTCTACAGCACAGCATCTGGTGGATTCAAACTGCGCACCTCTGAGATTGCAGTGCAGCTTCTTGCCACTAGGCCACCAGAGCTCGCCAAAAGTAAATTTTTAATATGCATCTAAAGTGATATATGTAGATATCATTCCCAGTTTACTAACATTTTAATACATCTATTTTTGAGGGGGGTTTTTTTATTCCTATGCAAGTATTCATATACATTGTGTTTCATTCATGTATATAGTGGGGATTTGTGTGTGTGTTTCATACTTTCCTTCACTGACATTATGTTTCATACAATTATTCCCATACATTGTATTTTCTAAAATAATCACCATCAGACTATGCCCACCATTACCCCCATCGTTTCAGGTACCCTTCAGATCTTTCCCATTTCCTTTAACTCCTCCCTCTGTTCACCAATGGTGCAACCCTGTGATTTCACCACCACCACCCATCCTCACCTCTCTGCTCCCACACCTTCCCTCCTTGGACCCCCTTAAACATTTTACTAGTTATCCTTCTATTTTTACAATAATGGTCTTATGCAGTATTTGTCCTTATGAGACTGAGTTACTTCACTCAGCGTCATGCTCTCCAGTCTCTCCCAAGTTTGTGGTATTTTTTGTAGTAATTGTTGCTCCTCAATGCTGCATAGTACTCCATTGTGTGAATATACCATAATTTCTCAGTCCCTATGATTGTGGTTGGACCTTTCGGCAGCTTTTATGTCCTTGCGATGGTAAATAATATTGATATGAACACTGGTGTACAAATTTCCCTTTGTATCTCAGTTCTCATTTTCTTGAAGTATATTACTAGGCATGGAATAGCTGAGTCATATGGAGTTTCTATAGTCTGCTGTTTTAAGAAATACTAAACTGACCTCTGGGTGGTTGTATGATTTTACGATCCCACCAATGTATGAGAATTCCAATCTCTCCACATCCTCTCCAACAATAACTGCTTGCAGTCCTGCTAAATTTTGCCACTGCTACTTGGGTGAGATGGTACCTCATGGTGGTTTTCATTTGTATCTCTC